TTTCTCTTCCCCCCCCCGCCCCCCCCCCCCATGTCTCTTTAGGGGCTCCGTACTTTAGGGGCTCCTTACACGTTAAAACTTTGTGGGTTTTCTTTTTTTTTCCCTCCACAGAAACCATCTCCAAAAGTCTGTGGTTCATCAGGTTTTAGGGCAGGTGTCAGCTGCAGGAGAGGAGAGCAGCGGGGAGCTCCAGCACATGGACCTGAAATGGAGAGGTTCAAACAAATCAGAGTGTAAAAAGGCTCCAAAATATCGCTCCATCCTCTCCACCTGCACCGTAAGTGCTGCTCCGACTCTGACGCCGCTGCGACTGGCTCGCCTCCCGTTATTCAGCCGATCAGTCAGTAATGTTAGCGCCTAGTGCACTGACAATATTCTAACATTATCATTAAATATGAAAACTGTTCCTTGCAAACAGACTGTGGAGCGGACTGGAAGCTGAGAAAGCTAAACCAGATCTAGCCCTGAGTGACAACTTCAAGTCGACACAGTTTGAATTTTAAAAACCTTTTTGTTTATCACGGGACCTGTTGGCTTCTTATGGTCACAGCCTTGGCCATAAACACTTTGTCTTGTGTTTATTGGGGCATAAAAAGCATTTAGCTATATTAAATTATGCAAATTGTCCAGACAGATGTTTTTTAATTTCACTCCACAGGGTTTTAATTGAAATTCAATAAATGAATCCATATTTTGAATTATGCTTGGCATTCAGTGTCTCAGTTTTTAGGGCCTTAACAACAGGCCACAGCGGTTTGCTCTATCGTCGCAGCGCGGTCAGTGCTGCTTATATTTATTTAAAATATCAATGCAAAAAACAAAACAAAACAAAAAAAAAGCATTCATTAACATGTATTTCCCCAAATGCAAACATTAAAGACACAGGTAAGTTTGAGACGAATAGAAAGAAAAAGCAAATCTTTATCTCACAGGATAAGTGTGGATTATCCATCCATCCATTGTCATCCGCTTATCCGTTACCGGGTCGCGGGGGCAGCAGTCGCCACCCAAATCACATTGCACCATACCAACCCCCCAAACCTTCCTGCGGGTGGTGAGTCCATTGGAAGGTGTTAACCGCCCTAAACAGGATTCGAATTTGCCCAGGAGATGAACCCTGGGGTTTCACACCACTGACAGAGACATTGCCTCTGGGCCAAAGCGCCACAAGTGTGGATTATATAAGGTCTTAATTTTACTGGTGATTTAAACCTTAAAATGTCTTATGATATGACTTACAATAAAGTACAACTGAGAAATATAAAATATTTGTTTTGTTTTTTTAATTCTCCGGGAAGATTTTGTAGGATAAGGATTTTGTTTACTCCGGAATGAAGAAGTAGGAAGACTTAGTTCTCCGCCTCAGGGGGGTGTTCTTTAGCAGAAACTTTAAAGGTTTTTCTGAAAAAAAGATCTCCAATCTGATACATAGATGGAACAGGGACCCCGACTATTATCAATGACTTTAGAATCCCATACTAGAAAAAAAAGTTAATAAAAAACCACAAAAAGCAGTTAATGCGTAGAAGTATTGTGCGAATACAGGTGTTAAATTATATATTTTTGGGTGAAAGTTAGCATTATCTACTTTTGTTGTTTTTGAATTGTTACTTTCATGTTCCCTTAAATTTAGTGACATAAATATTTGCAAAATATTGGGTATAACAAATAGAAAAATATTGCCCAGTTGACCAACAATAGCTCCACAGTAGGGATGTCCAATAATATCGGCCACAGATATTAGCGTAATTATGTAATATCTGTAAGAATCGGTTTTACCTCCGATAACGAAAACCCGATAATGCTAGAATATGCTAGAATCGTTTGTGGGGGCAGACATCCCTACTCCAAAGGGTCCGTGAAGCTATTATTGAACACCTGTGGTGTAAGTACGATTTCGTTATTAGCCTGCAAATGATGGAACATTGACAATACGTTCCAGCATCTGTAGATGTTTTCAGTTAAAATAAATGAATTTAGTTGCAGAGAATTAAAAAGTCCTCCTACCCTCCCCTCACCCCAAAAAAGGAACATACCAATGTACGTCTGAATGGCTCTGGGTTTGAGGAGAGGGTTATTGTCTTTTTCTTGCCTTTTACGACTCTAATGATGCACTCATGTTGCCCGCTCTTCACTTTTTCTTACACCTTCCCTACTTAAGGAGGAAATCTTGATTGGTAAGTGGATGCTATCCGCATATTCAGGGATTTACTTGTAGGTCGGTGCAGGCCGTTTGTTTACTGTTGAAAGGAGAGAGCTGACAGTTGTCTGTCCTGTTCTGAGGGTTCTCTTAGTTAGAACGATGGCTCTCTGTCTGCAGTTCTTTCTTTTCCTACATAGGACCCATCCTGTGATGTTTGTCCACTGTTTTTTAAACTAGGCTTTTCCGATGGGGCTCGTTGAGGATCGTTTCTGTCTTCTTCTGTTCGCTGCAGTTAGAGTTGATTACTAGATTTATCCACACATTTTGTATTTTCTCGCTCTCTCTTCTTTTTCTCTGCTCTTTTGTTCTGCCTTCATATAAATATTTTAGTTTTAGAGAGACTTTCTTTCCTCTTGATTCTCTGACTTTAGTTTTCTCCAAACTTTATCCGAGGTCAATCACATGCTTTAAATCTGCATGATGTCTTTAGTTTCAAAGTCCAAAGAGAAAAAAAACCCAGAAATCTCTTCACTGTGTTTTCGCAGGAATTATGTGCTATTATAGAGAACTTTCACAGCAGCATTTAAACCAGGCAGCAGCTGGCATTTGTCGACACCTGCTTAGTTTTAAGCCGTGGTCCGTTTGTCTTCTTTCAGATTTTGTCGGCGCAAACCGGAGGTCAACCCCTCAAAGGGTCTTGGGATCCGTCCAGCCAGATCGAGGGTAATCACGATTACAATTCGGGAAACAACACGTCGTCTCCTCCGTCCAACAACAACAACAAAACTGGCGTGTCGAGGACGCATGTGACTGACGATGGAAACAACCTGGGTCGGCATCTGACCTCAACAGAGAAGCTGAGGTTCAGCGTAAGAGACAGTGCCTCAGATTCAGGAAACTCAGTGACCAGCTACACTTCCTTATGCAAACCCTACAGAGAGGACAGTTCATCTGGAGGCTTTTTTAATGGGAATGAACGGAGGTACAGTTTGTAATGACAGACTTTAGGTCCTGAAAAAAATTGCACATTTTTTAAGGTATATCGACAAAAAAGGAAAATTCTAGGGATGTCCGGTAATATCAGGCAACCAATATTATCGAAACAATTTTAGTGCAATTATGTAATATCTGTAAGAATCGTTATAGTTTTTTCCACCGATAATGAAAACCCGATAACGCAATTCCTGGGTTTCGCCAAATGATGTGTGCCCTAAGAAAAGTTTTGGGGAAAAACGGCTGTATATAAAAGTGAAAGTGACTTGATGGCAGCATTGCACAGAAAAATCAATTTTCACAGATTTGTCATGTTCATATTTACCTAAAACCAGAGAAGATTATAATTAGCGACCTTCCAAAAATGTGATGTTTTTGTCCTTAAGTCTTACTTTGCCTCGAAAGATTATTGTATAATCATGACGAGGGGACGGCACCTCCTGCATGTCCAAAACAAACAAAAAAATAATAATTTATATATATATATATAATAATAATTTATATCAAGGGACTTCCTGGTTAAATACGGATTAAATAAATAATCAAATAAATTAATTACCAAACTACAAATATGTGTTTTATGTTTAAATTTTTTCATTTCCCAAAAGCGTAAAAGCTTTTTATGAGTTTGTGAAAGGATCATCTGAATGAAAAGGGTTCCTCAGTCAACAGTACCAGATACAGTTTTGGGCTCTGTCCCTTGTTGGCATGATATGATGTGGTTCTTGTCGTTTACAGAAAACAGATAACTCTGGGATGTCACGTACAAGTGTTGAAGTCGCCGAGCATGAGCCTCTCACCTCAACAGAGATGCTCATCCAGCAGGGGGAGCAGGTGCAGATCTTCAAGAAGTTCCAGATGCTCAGGACGCTACTCTCGAAGCCCTTCATGGTCAACCTGCAGGTGGGTATAAGCATGTGGTAAATATATATATATAGGGGAGACTGGGTATGGTTGTAACATGGGGAGAGTTGTAACACCACCAATTCCACCAATTAGGAATAAGATAGGAGTTATATGATCATTTCAGTGTTTACCCACTTCCTCCCTGATCCCACATGGTGGTTGTCAAGGTTGGAAACAGGCGCATGCAGATTCTATAAAGAAAAAACTGATTTTGATGTAAGAAAGTAAATATTTTGATCAAGACTATATTTTGTTTACTACTTATACTATTGTACATAAAACCATATGACTTACATTAGATTAAATTGTAGTTTCTCAGGCATAATGTGATGCATTTTCCCCTGCTAATTTCAAACCACTATGCTAATACAGCTAGCTAAACAATGGCTGACAGGGGTGGGGTGGGTTGTAACACATCTTTAAAAAGTGTTACAACCATCCCCTTACATACAACTAAGAACACTTTATTCATTTTAATAAATTTTACAGAATGCCTAAGCAGTGGCCAAGAAAGACTGACAGAGGTCTGCCTGCAAATGTTTTTAAAAAAATAATCTGATGAGGTCACAAAGAAGGGCAAGTCAGTTAGATCAGTTGCGAAGGCACATGAAATCTGCCATGTAACACTGAGCAGAAGCTGAGAGACCAGGGGCCTATTGATCTTCCCAGTATAGGTTACTAAAGCAGCAACAACGTTTTCTCTGAGGTGCAGAAGAAGTGTTGGCTGAGGCAGCAGACCTGTATTATGGACTGACTCCATGTGAGGTAAACATATGACAGGTTAGTCACTGGAGTCCAGAGAAGAATTGAATACTAGCGTAGGTGCCAGACAAATGGATAAACTTTTTGTATCTATGTATTGAGGTTTTCTATTCCACTTTCTTTTAGGTTAGACATTTGTCATATCAACTGGCAGTAATATATAACATTAAACACTCACAAACATCGGATGAGAAGCAGATGGCAGGGCCTGACTAGTTCACATTTTCTATGAAGCGGACCCCCAGCCTCTTTTTATAGCATGTCACATGGTGTGGCCTCTGTTTTTGCTTCTTTTGTCTAACTGTTACAACTTACCCCAGCATGTGTTACAACCTACCCCAGTAGTGGGGTAGGTTGTAACAAAGGAACTCCATGTATCTGACATCAACTTACGAGGATTGTGATATTCTTGCAGAGGTTTGAATCGATGTCATTTGTAATAAACAACAGTGGGTACTTTGTATAAAAGTTTGAGAACTCTAGCTCAAAAATTCAGTGAGTTACAGGTCCTGAAGCAAAAAGTGTGACAACCATACCCGGTCTCCCCTATATATATATCAGACAATTCTGAGCCAAAAAATTCCAGAGCCAGTCAAGGAACAATTGAAGAAACTCTCGACCTGGTTAGCTGGTAGCATTACGTAACTAGCTCAGCCTAATATGTAACATTTACTTAAAAGTAATTAATTGTTGTTTTGTTGAACTGTTCCCAGTTCATATTCCCGCTCTCCTATTTACTACTCCCACCTGAGGCGGCGGAGCAGTGTGGGCAGCCAGTGCTCCAGAGACAGTTACTCCAAACACAGTTCTAACAGGTGAACTTTAACAAACCAGTCCAGCTGTTAATGTCACAAGTACGTGTGCTTGTTTGCATTGTTGGTGATCACTCGACTTCCCTGCAGACTACGTGACAGAAAGAGAACGTCAAGCTACAGGAAGACAGATGTGAAGCATGCGAGGAAGGTTAGCAGGAAGCGACGACAACGCAGATCCTTCTCTCCTATGAAGAAAAGGAGAAGGGACTCACCTAGCCATCTGGAAGCTCGCTGCATCACAAGGTACACAAGGCTTATTTATAGCTGCAGTTTGTTATAATGCTCAGGATCAGGAAGAAAAATATGATGCAGTTCCAACTGCTTCCTCCAGGTCTGGACAGATACTCAGGCTAGAATCTTCCCAAAAAGCTGACACAAAAGATAGGTGTTGGTCCACAAAAAATATCAGTAATTACCATAGTGTCAGAAGTAACCAGAGTAAATTACACTGACATTTGGGTAGGAAAACAACGGAAACAGTCATTATCTGATTCAGCCTAGTTGCTGTTAATTAGCTGTTCAGTGATGATTCTGGCCTTCGTGAAAGCTCAGACAACATTTCAGACTGATACCTTAGCCCAGGCATCCACGATCCTTTAGCAGATAGTGGCATAACTCGTCCGGCGTTGCCTCCCTGTCTTGGTGAATGTGTGTCTTCTGTCATCCAATACTCCCACGCAGCTTGTAACTTAATTTTGAACACCATGTTAACACCAATATTTAGCGGTTGAAGGCTTTGGTTAATCCATCTGGAGCGATAGCAAGCTCCGAATTAATTTGCTTCACTTGGGTTTTGACAATATCGGTGAGATTTGTGGAAAAGGGTAGTGACCTAGGTTGGACACTGGAGGACGCTGTTGTTGTTCGCCCCTCCAGAGTCAGGCGGTTGTCACTAATTTTGTAGTATTGTATTGTAGTGATGGGAAGGCCGACTTTTTACTGATTTGGATCTTTGACTCTCGAACAATAAAATGAACAAGTCATGAAGGACGATTTTTTGGTTTTCCGACACTAAATACTGAAGGCAACATGGTTTGCTTCCGTTGACTAGGTCTACAAAGTACACAAAATGTCATAAGTAATTCAAACCATGTGAAAACCTAAGAAAGAAAAACACACCACAATGACTTGTGTCCTTCATCCTCCCTGTCATTGTTGTTTAACCACGTAACAGTGACTAAAATGAATGAGAGCAAAAGAGACCCAAGATGTCTGTCACGTGACAAATGAAATGAATCTGCGAGAACGAAGCTTTGAACTAATCTACGAGAATGACCCTGCGAAAGCGAATCTGAGAGAACGAATCTGTGCAGCCCGAGCAGTCTATCACAAATGAAAAATCCTGATAGAAGACAAGTGAATGTAAAACTCAATTTGACAAGTGAGACAATTCGCAGTGAGACAATTAGTGATTAATTCGCAGAGACTGATTCACTCGCAGAGAGTGATTAGTTTGCAGTGAGTGATTCATTCGTAGTGAATGATTAGTTCACAGTGAATGGTTAGTTCGCAGTGAAAGATTAGTTCGCAGAGAGTGATTCGTTCGTAGTGAAAGTTGTTGAGCATCCTCTAATTGTGATAACAGAATTAAAGTTTAACTGTTAAACGTCATTGTTGGCTCCCAGTGTGCTTCAGTTGTGTGCCATCATGTGTGATGCGCTGTGTGGTTTGGCTTTACAAAATCGGTTTCAGCTCAGTAAGCACAACCAGAAGTAATACATAAGGCACACCGGGTCATAAGGCACACTGTCAATTTTTGAGAAAATTAAAGACTTTAAGTGCGCCTTATAGTGCGGAAAATACGTTATATATATATATATGTTTTTTTAGTGCCATGCTAAAGGTGTACCTTAGCTTAGAGAGTGGCTAGATCACAGAAAGAAAATCAAATGGTACCATTTGTGAAGCTAAACAAATATTTAAAGTTTAACTGTTAAACGTCATTGTTGGCTCCCAGTGTGCTTCAGTTGTGTGCCATCATGTGTGATGCGCTGTGTGGTTTAGCTTTACAAAATCGGTTCGAGCTCAGTAAGCACAACCAGAAGTAATACATAAGGCACACCGGGTTATAAGGCACACTGTCAATTTTTGAGAAAATTAAAGACTTTAAGTGCGCCTTATAGTGCGGAAAATACGTTATATATATATATATATGTTTTTTTAGCCATGCTAAAGGTGTACCTTAGCTTAGAGAGTGGCTAGATCACAGAAAGAAAATCAAATGGTACCATTTGTGAAGCTAAACAGATATTTAAAGTGAACACCCTATGTTTATGAAATTTTTCATAAACTGCTTAATATTGTCATTTTTTTGTAAATGCGATACTTGCCAATATTTCCTCAGGTTTCCGCCTTCCACTTCAGTGGACATTATTGAAATAATGTCCACTGAAGTGGAAGGCGTTATATAGGTGCTAAATCTCTATGGGTAACAGGGTGAAGTGTGTGAGTTCAGTCCACACCACAATGAGGACATCAAGCAGGAAGAGAGAGAGCGGAAACGAAAGTGAGTGAGTGAGTGAAGTTCTTACCATACCCTTTGGTTCTCCACAGTGCCAGGAAGCGACCCATTCCTTACTTCCGACCCAGTCCCGCCAGTCAGTCCACCAGTGTGTCATCCTGGAGCAGCCTCTTCACGTGCAGCAGAAGTCGCAGCCCAATCTACAGCACAAGCCAAAGCAAGAGCAGGAGCTGGAGCCCTTGTTACTCCTCCTACAGCAGCTACAGTCGCAGTTCGTCGTACAACTCCATTTTTGGGGCCCGCAGTCGCAAGAAAACGAGGTACTGGGGGCGCAAAGGACAATAAGGTATTGGAGCGCAGTGCATCGTTCCACCTGAGGACAAAGAGGTTGGAGACTCAATCAGTGGTGTTTTCTTGCTCCACTTCGATGCTGAATTCAAAGTGTCTCTGCAGGAGTCCGATCATTGACTCAGAAAACCCAGAAAACAAATATGCTTTTATACACGGTATATCATTTTTCTATCGCATTCTACTGCATTCACTGTAACAACAGTCTGTGTTTAACCTCAACACAGTTGATCTTAACAGGTATAGGACAGGGGTCTGCAACTTTCAACACCAAATGAGCCATTTCAATAATTTCACCAAAGAAACTTTTTTGCTGGGGATCCATATTTTAAAGGTCACAACCCTTCACGACCCAAGTCAATAGACATTATTCATAAACTCTTGGGAAACATGATGCGAGACAACCCCCCAAAAAATCTATTCCGACCCACCTGAGGGTCGTGACCCAGTCTTTGGGAAACAATGATTTAAATGATGGTAGTAGTGCGAGTATTATAAGTACTGTAGTAATACTACAGATTTATAAAATCTGTAAAATCTGTATGAAATCGATTTATAAAAAAAATAAATAAAAAGATTGGTGTTGAGAATTTATTGTTTTTTATTCAGTTGTCCTGTAACAAAAAACTTTTTTTTTTTCAAATTTCTACGTTAGGCTATGATCAATTCCAACACTACAGTATTCAGTATGACACACTCGCTACCATTACATACAGTGTCCTGAAGTCAACATTTCACTGCGCTTCATAAAAATTGCGCACCTGGTCTTGAGTTTTATTGTGTTGTTTTACTGTTAGCTAGCAAGTCGAAAATAGTTTCAAACTAGATTTTTGTTTAAAATCTCATGCCCTTTTCTATCTGCTGTGTACTCATAATATTGGTCTGATGTATCAGACACTTTTAAAGCACAGTAAGGTTCAATTATGTCCATGGCGTGGAGCCAGTACGAGAAGGCTAAAGTCCTTGAGCCACAGGTTGCAGACCCCTGATGTAGCACAATGTTTGGGTTTTCTTTTTACAGGCTTCATAAAGGCCCATCACAATAGCTTCTGTATGGGTAGAAAACCTGGTTGTCATTGGGTAGGAATGAGTCAAACAACCCTATATTGAATAAATTATTTTAAATAATAGGTTTAGTCTTCAGGTTTAAAAATATTTAACAACAAAACACACACATTTTGACCATGCGCACCAGTTACAGACATTTAACTTGACTGTTCTTATGACCAACAATAGAAAGGTTAAGTGCTGTTATCACTGCACGCCACAGGATGAAGAATAGATTTGTTTTCTTTGAAAAATGGAATGAAAGGAGGCCTGGCAATGAACATACGGCCTGTCAGCCCAAATGTCAAATTAATTTGTCTTTTTATCGAGCAGAAACCCATTGATAAATCAGTACTAAAGCACTTTTCAATGTGTTTTTTTAATAGGTCATAAGACCTTCTCTGTTTTTATTGGCAGCTGATGACAAACTGTGACGATGTAAGGAAATATTTCACGGACTTTGGAGACTACCTAGGTTGACCAGTAGGGTATGCAGAAATTGTGGGTTATTGTTGGTAAACACAAAACATGCATCTCCCTCCACACCCCTGCAGGGGGCACTGTGACTATAATTAAAATACTACTTGTTTTTGCTCTGTGCAGAAATAATATTATGTTACAGAATTTAAATCAACAATTACGAAGCTTTCAAGAGCAGCATTTACTCACTGGTTAATTAAAATAATTCTAATAAACAACACATCTGCTCACATACCATATCTAATGATCAGCTGGAGCTGTACACTGCACACCCCTGACTGTGATCCCCACATAATTTAACTTACTGTATGACAATGAAAGGCAGCTGTCATAAGTGTTGCATTACTGCCATCTTCAGTTTCTATCGTTCACTTGAACACATTTACAGTCATTCCCTTGCTTGAACTAGAAAATACAGGTAAAATAATTTCAATTATTTTGATGTTAATGTTGTCACAGGGATTCTGCATTCTCTACTTTCCAACAGACACTGAACTCATCTTTACGTTTCATTAACCATATTTTACGGGTTTAAATGATCCTGTGATCACAGGGAGAAAAGTTGATGAAGCTCAAATGGACTTGGAATCTCCGCTGACATTTAAACGCTGTCATGTCTGTCTGTTTCCGTGTTTTCCTGTTGTCCTTGTGGGGTAATCTTTGGGATCACACTCACCTGTTGGTAATTGGCTTCACTTGTGTCACCTGGTGTTCCCTGTGTATATATACCCCTCTCCCTCACTCTGTCGGGGTTGGTTCATTGTGTTTGATCATTGTGATTGTG